GTGTTGGGAATCCAGCCAAGGGCAGCAAACAGAAGAGTAATTTTCTGGAATTTTTATTTCTTGTGTAAGAGCAAGGATTCATCATTATCTCCAGAAAAACATGTATTAAATAATCATCATAACAAAACAGGGTCACTTCATCCAAATTCTCAGGACTGCATAAACCCTAGAAGATGCAATGTCCTTTGCCCTTAGGAATATGTCTGAAAGAGCATACACTAAAAAAGGATTATTAACTGATGGCATCTCTACATTTTCTCTTATTTTATTTCTCTCTGACCTGTACTGGCATTATCTTTTTTTATTTCCTTCTTCTTTGCTCACTAATGTTATCTGCTTTCCATTTTTAAAGAAATAAAGGCTCCTAGAACTACTAGCTCAGGAAGCCACTGTCTGACCATAGGCAGCGGTCATTGGACTCTAAGAAAGAAGCTGGCTCTAATTGAAATCAGGGTTTCCTTCTGACGCTGGGCATATAGATGCAAGAAGAAGAGTGGAATGGGAGCATGCACTGTGAGATTCCTCCAGGAAGAGATTTGGATCCTCCTTTAGTGACCTCAGACTTCACAGCTGTTACAAAGAATAAAAGTAGAATGCTTATCTATTGGATCCAGGAAAAATAAAATTAAGAATGGAGTGAATGAGCTCTGTGCTCTGTTTCTTTGGATTAACAGATAGTTCTTACTTGTTATTTCAAAAAGGGAATATATTGGAACATGACAGTGTTTCTGTTTAACTATATTATACAAGTAGCATGTCCCCATGCTATGTTCCTCTTTGCACAGCAGGTGTCAGCCTCACACAGCCTTTCTCTTAGGAAATCCATATTCCTATGGCCCTCTTACTTACCCTTTCCTTGGTTAAAACAATCAATTTCTTTCATTTTATGCAAGCAAAAACAACAGGAAACAGTCACCCAGATATTGGAAATAGAGTAGTGCTCAAGTACTTGAAAAATGGCCAAACCAAGGACCATGTGAAGGGGCGACAAATGTTAAGGTAGGAGAATGGGGAGGGCAGATTGAATCCTATGGGTCATACTGAACAGGTGTTAAGTATTGGATTCAAGTTGAGTCTCTAGAAGACACAGTTATGATGCTAACTCAAGAAGTGTTGGACCTGCCGAAACCGGTTTGGCTCAGTGGTAGAGCATCGGTCTGGGGACTGAAGGGTCCCAGGTTCGATTCCGGTCAAGGGCATGTACATTGGTTGCAGGCACATCCCCAGTAGGGGGCGTGCAGGAGGCAGCTGGTTGATGTTTCTCTCTCATCGACGTTTCTAGCTCTCTATCCCTCTCCCTTTCCTCTCTGTGGAAAATCAATAAAATATATATTAAAAAAAAAAAAAAAAAAAAAAAGAAGTGTTGGACCTGGCCCTATCAAAGGGTCTTTTGTTTCTTCCAGGCAAAGGAAGTTGAGCCATCAGCAAGCAGCTATAGTGTCCTGGGAAAAGTTCTCAGTGTAAACCATTGATATCCACCTTGTCCATTAATCGGTTAAGTATCTTGTTTTTTACCTCAGGCAAGAGACTTCCCTAAGCCTTGGTTTTCTAATTTTTATGATAGAAAACAAAAAACAAAAAAACAAAACAAAACAAAAAAACGCTTTGTCTACCCAAAGTAGAAAAAAAATTGAGATTTTGTACATAAAAGTTTGTAGACAATAAAGCACTATTTAAATGCAGAATGTAGAATAAAATATATAAAGGCAAATATAGAATAAAGTTATGAATAAAAAGGAAGCCAGTGCTCAAAATTTAAGAAACTTCAATTAATCATTTCTTTAGATTTTTCTCAATATACTACACCGTGATTTTTTTCTCTCCTGTGTTCAATGTTAATCATGTGGAATTGGAACACACTTAGGGTTTTTTTGTTTTTGTTTTTAAATAATTTGGCTATGTTTTAGTGGATCTATTTTTTAAAAATATATATTTTATTGATTTTTACAGAGAGGAAGGGAGAGAGATAGAAAGTTAGAAACATCGATGAGAGTCATCGATCAGCTACCTCCTGCACACCCCCTACTGGGGATCTGCCCACAACCAAAATACATGCCCTTGACCGGAATCGAACCCGGGACCTTTCAGTCTCCAAGCCGACACTCTATCCATTGAGCCAAACCGGTTTCAGCTACACTTAGGGTTTATTTCACAAAAACTTCCCAACCTGGAGAGAGAACCATACATGATCCTGTTGAAGGAGGGGAAGAGAGTCCTTTTCTAGCTTTTACATTGCACCATTAATAGACAGATATAAGCCACTTGCAAACTCCAAGTTTGCTAAACAAATAGACATTAATCTTCAACAACCCTTCCTTTCCAATCTGATGTGCTTAGTACCACTAATACATATACCACTAATACTAATAAATACATATCCCAAGAATGTATTTGATTCCATAACCTTGCCTCTTAGTTTATAAATTGAGATGGCTAAAGTTTGCCATGTTGTGGTTAGTTTGCACTGGTTTGGGCCAGATACATAAAATTCATTGCATTTATGTTTTATCTCATGTTAAATTTACATAATTTAAATTAGAAATGCAAACATTACTGAAAGAACTTATGTTTGAAAAGCAGAAGTCTTCAAATCAGATTGTTTAAGAATAAATCCATTAATTTTTCCCTCTGTGCTTTCTAATGTCAGGAAAGACCAGGGGAATTCAAATTTTTTCTTTTCCCATGACTCATCCCCACCTGTGGAGTTTTGTGCTATATATTCCCGTTTTGTCTGTTCTTTTTGTTAAAAATTCTCATCATCACCCCCTACTTTTTTTTTTTTTTACTTTTTTTTTTTTGCTGAGGCTTTCAATTTACAATACCTTGAACTGGCAGAGAAGTAGAAGAGGTTGAACTCTCAACCTTTGAAATCTCTTAATACTTGCTGAGTGGTCAAGGAGCAAAGTAGAAAAGACTGCTGATTGAACTTTACCCCATTTGTTTTTTTGTGTGTGTGTGTTTTTTTTAATTTTTACTTTATTGACTAAGGTATTACATATGTATCCTTATAGCCCCATGGGCCCCTCCCCACACACACACTCATGCCCTCACCCCTGGTGTCTGTGTCCATTCGTTAGGCTTATATATATGCATACAAGTCCTTTGTTTAATTTTTCTCCCATACCCCCACCCTCCACTACCTTCCCTCTGAGGTTTAAACTTTACCCCATTTGGGAAAGCTTTTCCTATTATAGCTCAAACATCCATGTTTTAAAGAAGTATTCATTTTCCTAAAAAGTAAAAATGTTTTTGGAACATACTCCAAAAAAGTGAGACCAAATTTCTGTACTTAGTGGTTAGCTTGGATAATTTTTAGACCTGCTTTAAAATTGAGTACTTTTGCATAATGTATTTAATACAGGTGAAAAATTATTTTATTTTAAATTTATTGTGTTGTCTGTTATATTCTTTTTGCTACTTTTTCATAGTACTTTACAGTTATAAACTCTTAAGGCAGCAACTTCTGGGTGAAATTATTTAGGGAAGCCAAGACACAATCTTAATATGGTATAAATTAGTCACCCCTTACCATCAACAATCTGTTCATGGGCAGAAAGGTGCTGACAACTCCCCACCCCTTTCCGGGTCAGCCTCTCAGGTAATTTATAGATGCAAAAAATATTGGAAGCTGTGAAAGGCCCCATTCTGCCAGATTTTGTGTCATTCTTTCCTGGGACCAAGGTGGGACAGTCATTTTATTCCTTCTTGTCTACCATTAAATAAAAACGGTGAACAGTGGGACTATTCCCTCTTCTTGGTGAGCTCATTTCCACTCTACTTACTCTTCACAGTTCACAATCATTACCAAATTAACTTCTTTTCCATTACTTTTAATTCTTTCTATTTCCCACCCCTACTGGTGGATTTCCTCCTGCTTGCAGAAACGTGAAGATGATGTCCTTACCACGTTCTCTCCAGTATCCTCAAATGATCCAGATATAAATATTTTAGTGCCTCCGCCAGTGGCTTTCAGAGGGCATGAAAGTTACTGCACCTAGTCCCTTATTTACAAAGCTGTCTGGTCTTATAGCGCAATTACTAGCTATTGGATTCTCCCATAAGGGTGGACACGGAGGAAAAGAGATTACCAAGAGAACTACCTAAATTGAAAAAGGAGGGAGGAGACGGAGGATGGAGAGGAATGGAAGAGAGAGGGCGGAGCTAGCTGAGCACATAAAATCGCACAGGAGGAGGAAGCACGTTTGCGTGAGCCTGAACTGCTCTCCCGCGACAGGGAGCGATGGGGCAGCCTGTACCCTGAGCACGGCGGTCGGAAAACAAGGGCGAGAAGACGGGCGAGACAGAAGGGGACATCCGGAGAAACCGGCAGGCAGAAGCCGGGGAGGGGAAAAGAAACCCACAGCAGGTGGAAACTAGATCCAGAGCAAACCAGTCGGATCCACAGTTGTTTTCCTTCAAGAGAAGTGGCGGAGGATTGCCCTTTTCCCCTTCAGTTAATGAAAAGTACTCTTATCCTCCTAAGAGAAAAGGCTAAGGGGAGGCAAAAAAAAAAAAATCTGTTTTTTTTTTTGTTTGGTTTTTTTTTTTTTTTTTTTTTTTTTTTTTTTTTTTTTTTAAAGGGGAGAGCTGAGGGGAATCCAGACTCTCCCCTTTCTAAGCGACTGAAATAAGCCGCTGCCCGGTGCACATTGCAGAGCCATCCAGCTTTCCGAAGACCTGCATCCCTTTCAGGAGAATCCCAGCCGGAGTAGCTGGTACAGTTGTGTTTCTGTATTTCCACATCTGTGTCTCTTCTTCCTCCTTCCTTCTAGTAAAGCTATCCTTGTTCATAAGCACGAGTGGCAAGGAGGTGTCAATGTAGAGTAGAAATATGTTCAATGTTCTCTGCGATCTGCCTGTGTCTTTTTAAGAGGGAAGGGGTGGTTCTTAGGTTGAAAAAGGATCTTTTCATCGGAAAGGCTCGCTCTCTAAATATGTTTGCACCCATTCGCCCTTAGAGAGAGAGGTATCTTTCGGAGGTTGCGATCCTACTGAGAAAGATGGAAAAAGGAGCCAGGCACCGAACCAACGCCGAGAAGAACCTCCCAGCGGGGAGCCAGTCGGAGAGCGGGTCAGGAGAGGGCGGGGTGTCCCTGAAGAAGGAGATCGGATTGGTCAGCGCCTGCGGCATCATTGTAGGTGAGTACAGCTCCCTCTCCCACCCCACTTTCCTCCCCACCCCCACCCCGTCCCCCACTTGGTGGTTCTCCTGCAGAAACGTAACCCTTCTGAAATACTATTTATGTTTCCTATTCTCTTAGAAAATGATTGTCAGTCACCTGTGCTGCACCCTACACCTTGCTAGTCAAGGTTTGTCCAAACCAAGCTGAACAGTTGTGTCCAGTGCTCACAGAATAGAGAAGCAAGCAGGGGTCACACAGCTGGCCGCTGGTCAGCAGCGCCTGGGAGCATGTTGAGAAAAATAGTTCTTTGGGCGCCCCACGTGGAGGTCCTCATTCAGCAGGCTTCAGGTGGGGCCGGGGAAGCTGAGTCTTAACAAGCTGTATGCAGCCATCTCCTCAGCAGACGCTGGGCTCGCTTGCGAGGCATGTTAGTAGACACTTGGTTGTTTTGTTATATGAAATTACGGGCCTACAGGATGTGTAATAATAAAAGTAGCTACCACAGCCGTCATGACGCTTTGCCTTTCTACAGCTTTTCCACGTGATGCACTTTGGGAAGTAAATGTGGCAGGGCTCTTATTCCCGTTTCACAGATGAGGAAATAGCTTATGCAAGAAGAGACAGATTTCGTCTTTTTGTATTTTATTGATTTTGTACAGAGAGAAAGGGGGAGAGATAGAGAATTAGAAACATCGATGAGAGAGAGTCATCGATCAGCTACCTCTTGCACACCCCCTACTGGGGATATGCCCGCAACCAAGTTACATGCCCTCGACCAGAATCGAACCCAGGTCCCTTCAGTCCCCAAGCCGATGCTCTATCCATTGAGCCAAACCGGTTTTGGCTGATTGCGTCTTTTTGTAAGTGTATAGTTGGCACTTTTCTCTAGTTGCCTAGTGAAGTCCCCTGTCTCCTAAGCCTGTGGGTTCCTGAAAGGAATTGGGAGTAAGTAGAACGAGGTGTGGCATCGGAGAGGAGCTGATGGGTAACATGCACCCCAGCTGAGAGGCTTTGAAGGTGGGGAGCCTGGGTGTCCCAGAGAGTGCAGTGCAGGCCGCTTCAGCCCCCTGACTGTACGCAGCAGGGCGTCCCAGGCACAGCTTCATCTCTGGAACACAGAGGCGCTGGATTTGGTCCACATGCAGCTCTTTGCCCCCTCGAGTTTTTAGCAAAGGCCAGCGTAGCAGTACCCTAATTAAGTTAATAACAATGTATCTACCTATATAGTTTAAATTTTAAAAAATGGGCTCTCAAAAGAAACTTCAATCGTTGTACTGTTGATATTTGGCTCTGTTGACTAATGAGTTTGCCCACTGGGCTAGGGCAATGGTGCATTACTGTCATCACTTCAGGGGTGAGAGTTTTTCCTGCTGTCTTTGGCAGAGGGCTTTACCTTCACCCCATGGAAACGGGTGCGAGACAGACAAGCTGGGTATATGCATCATCTTGTTGTTACCTCCCCCTCCCCCATTTATTTTTAGAGAGAGTGGGAGGGAGGGAGAGAGAGAAACATCAATATGTTGTCTCCCACACACACACACCCTGCCAAGTACATTCCTCCACCAGCATTCAAACCCAAGACCATTTGGTGCAAGGGTCCATGCTCTAACACCTGCTAGGGCTCTCCAGAGTTCTTTTTGACGCCTCACTGTGACATGGTGCCCATGAACCAATTTCTCTGGATGACCTGATGGTCCATTTATTAGCACAGAGACATTTTTGGCACCTGTGCAATAATGACACTGGAGAACACCCTTGAAATAAAATAAAATCAGTACAGTATTCAGATAATCCTCTTCACCTCTACACCCAGACTTCAGTGATATTGTTATCTCCACTCAGCTTTTAAAATAGAATTCCACTCTATCTAATTCTCTGACTCTGGGAGGTTTTCCAGGTATCGACAGTTATAAGAAAAGCAATGTTATTTTAAAAATTATAGTCATGATCTGACTCTCTCATTATCCTTTCTTTGCCTCTCCTTAATCCCAATTGCTCTAAAAAATGAGATCAGCAAAGTACTCCATTTGTACAGCCCATGCCAATTTATGTTATATAAATAGCAGAGCCTATTACCTCTTTCACCAGTTTGACTGATAGGATTAAGCGCTTTCCTCCCTTTGGGAAGGTTCTGATTCATACACAGATGTGCACACCCATGTGCACTCAGGCACAACTGCCTTCTTCCTGCCTCAGCTGTGCTCACCCACACGTACATATGTGGAGGTTTTCAAGGGCAGAGGATATTTTCCTATATCCTCAGATTGGTTTATCTCTTTCTTTAACATTTTTCTAAGACTATGGAGAAATGTGAGTGTTTAGATATAAAAAGCACAACTTGAGTGAATGTTACTACTGACTTATCCACAACCTCATGGATGACTGTATGGTGAAAAGAGATGCCAGATAAGTGATTTCAGAGAAATCTGGCTATTTTTCCAAAGTGAGAGAATACTTTTGATTATTAGGCACTATTCTACATCTAAGCTAGGATGAGATGCATATTTCCCTTTTAGGATGATATGGGGGCAAAATCCTTTCAGTTGTTGAGTTACAAGTGTGCTGAACAGCTGCCTTATCCTTCTCCAGAGGAGTTTCTGAGTAGATGATGTTTTATCAAGACCAAATGCAAAAAAAACAAATGCGTTTTCTACACAGGATTCAGTGTTCAACATCAATACTACGGGAGAAATATAATTAGAAGGCAAAAAGAGAAAGGTTATTTCCTAAGTGAATCAGATAATGCCATATGTGAAAGTAGCAATTGCCTCAAGTCTATCTATCTCATACCCAATTGACTTAGAAGGATAAGTGAAAGTATATTTCATACAAGCTCATAAAACTTCATTCACAATCATCACTGATGATCTAAAGTACAGGGTGCCCTCCAAAAATGTACACACACGTTGAATGATTATATATAGCCAGTCTTTATTAACATTTAAGTGAGTTATCAGCTGTTAAAGTGTATGTATATTTTTTGGGACACCCTATCAAAACAACAGATTGGCAGATGCTATAGGAATATATAATGAGCTAATAGAAGACTCATGCCCTAGAGTCTCTTAGGGAGATGAAATTCATATGCATTAAACAGAGAACAGTGACCATGCATTATATAATTGAGTTGTGTAAGAGATGAAGGAAGGCAAAGTTAGGTGAACGGTGGAAGCACAAAGAGAGAAAGGTTCTCTCCCAGAGAGAATGTGAAAAAAGATGTGAGTAAAGAAGATTATTTGGGGAGATTTGGTAGGTTATATCATTTTATACCAGTTACATATTAAAGGGGCAATAACTAAACTGTTATTTTCTGGAGGGGGAAAAAAAACCCTGAACTGTTACTTCTTATTCATCTCTGAGTCTTTATTGTTTAGCAGAGTGTCTGACATAGAACACTTACTTGAGTGATTATTGAATTTAATTGACTCTTGGACAAAAGTCTGAAGACAGTAATATAAAGTGTTTATCTGAGGGGCTATTGGGAAATTGGCTTGAAAATCTTTAGGATAGGAATAATTTCATTAACTTGGACATTTAGGTTGTCCCATTTTCTTTCTTTTTAATTCTCACCTGAGGCTATTCCCCCTCCCTCCCCCCATTGATTCTGGAGAGAGAGAGGAAAGAAACATCGATGTGAGAGAAACATGGATCAGTTGCTTCCCATACGTGCCTTGACGGGGGATTGAATCCAAAACCTGGGTATGTGCTCTCACCTGAAATCAAACTCACAACCCTTTGTTGCACTGGATGATGCTCTAACCATTGAGCATGCCAGCTAGGGCAGGTGGTACCATTTTCATTCTTTAACATCACCTTTGCCTTAAGCTAAACAAGCTATTGCTCTCCATGTACTTACTTGGTTAAGAAAATCTGTTGGCAATAGATGAACTTAGATTCTCCATGAATGTAAAGAGAATGTGAAGGAGCAGCTAAATCCATTTATTAATTATACCAAAGCTACCATTATGAAACATTTATTATATGCCAGGTACTTATCCAATTACCTAACATACATTATACATTACCTTATTTATTCCTCACACTAACCCTGAGGTAGACACTTATTAACCCTTCCTCCCGATAAGAAGATAGAGGTTCAGAGGGAGAAAGTCCCAAGGTGGTGAAGGTCACACAGCTGAAAGGTATGGAAGCCAAGATTCAAACCTAAAGCTTGTCTGAATCCTGACTCGAGCTCTTAAGTATTATTCTCTGCTATTTCTGTTTTTATGTCCTAAAAAGTGTTTTCCTTTAGACTCTGGGCAGACATCCTTATCATTTTTATTGAAGAAGCAGTGAGTCTTGTATTTCCAGTGAGGAAGTGTCCCATGTAAAGGGATGTTGGACAATCAGCTGGGGTGGAAGAAGGTAATATTCCCAGTGCAATCACGGGAAGGTGTGGAGGGAGGTGTGTTGCTCAGCTAGAACAGAAAACATTACCAGGAACTCTCCCACAGGCTCATCATTCCCCTCGGGACCAGCAGTCTTCCCATCAAAGAGAGGCCTAGAGTTCCTGGCTGTTTACATCATTTTATATCAGTTACATATTTAGGTACATGCCTAGAATCTAGGTCTGAAGGCCACGAGGCCAATTGCAGAGCCTAAAGAAAAATATTCATACTATGTTAGACCGTTCTGTTTTTAGTATGGTGTGTGTTTGTCGGGGAACTTGATCTATTTGCTGCAGAGCAATACTGGATATGGGGCTAGCTACTAGACCTCTATCTCCCAACCATAAAGTTTAAAAACAGTATTTATTGAGCCCTAACTAAATGCTGCTTCCTGTGCCTTAAGCTCCGTGTGCATATTACCTTATTTAATCCTGACCACAATCCCATGGAAGTAGATGTTATATCTATCTCTATTTTAAATATGGGGAAGAGCTGGTAATTTGCCCAAGGTCACGCAACTGATTACAGTGATGTTCTGACTCCATGGCCAAAGCTCTTAGCCATTCCCCATTTCTCACTGGTAACCAAGAGGGGAGGGAGAGAGGCTGGTGTGTATTGTGTGGTGGGA